TTTTTTTCATGAAACACAGTAGGCATAGTTTTTTTTTTTATTACACATAAAACAATTAATCAAACAACAATAAAAAAACAATTAGCTCTGATCTCCAGCGATTTGCGCTTAACGTTATAGGGCAATAAATTAATCAGATCAAAGAGAGGGTCATTTGCCTCAGGCTCCTTAGGCTTGAAACGCTGTAACGTTCAGCCTTCTCCTGCCTTGGTTGTCTGGACAGCTGCGTAAAACTCCCGCAGGGTCTCATTCAGGGGTGCGTTTCCCGAAAGCATCGTTATCCAACTATGGTCGCAAGTTACGTCGTTACCAATAGAGTTCAATGGAGCAGAGCAGCAGCGGTGTAATTTTCTCCATTTTATTTACATTTTTTCTTTCTTCAGCAGCATACCAGTCGTCAAAGTTGCCATATTCTCCATAAATGTTAAAAGAAATAGCACGAAGTCGCTCATTGTATCTAACGTTAGATGATAGAGCATGTGACTGCCTGTTGCTATGGTTACTCACAGCCGTTGTAGGCAGTGCATTTATTTATTCATTTCGAATGGTAAACAGGCAGTTTCACCAGAACTACTTTACTAGGTGTCCTCTATCACTTTTTAACGGACACCCTGCAGCCAATCAGAATCGAGTATTCACCCAGACCATGGTATAAGACGTGTTAATGTGACCAAGCCCGCTGAGAGCGTGCGCCGTGCGCTATTCAAACGCTACTGTTGAGGCAAGCCATGAAAATGGCCACATCAGCAGTTTAATAAAAATCTTGTACTTGCTTGCTACTCTCGTCTTGTTGCGAAATAATAGTTAATCCTAGCAAAATAAAGTGAATATGTAATATGCACCATATAAAACATTTTATATATTTATTAAAATGCTCCTCTCTAGAGTTACTTTTCTAGTACTTTTCTAGTTTCAAAGGTTACCTCAGAAGTGGAGGTTACTAATTGATTTTGAGGAGCACGGATTCAGCTGATGTAGTAATTTATTTAATCGCTTTATTGAATAGTGTCTGTAAACTGCACAAAGACTATTTAAATATGAAATGTGTGTCTGTGTGTGAATGAATGAATGGCACAGACGCGTGCACACTGTGCTGTTCATTTACTCTCGCTCCTACATTATTTTACATGAACACATCCAAACTATATTGCTATAGCCTACTGAGATTTAATCTAACCGCATAATAGAATAATATCTGTAAAACCAAAAAGACTGTTTAAATATGAATCGGGTGTCTGGATGTGTGAATGAACGAACGCAGATGCACACTGTTACAAACAAAATATAAAAGATAAGATTCCGTTGGCTAGCTTTGGATAGATTATAAAGTTTTTACTATAAAAATAGACATCAAATAAGCTTTTGTTAGACAGTTTCTGCTCATATGTTAAATATATAGTATGTTTTGTCAAAAATAAACTAATCAACTGTTATCCAATGCAAACTGTATCAAAATAATGAATCCTTAACTTTGAAATATGTACGATAAAATGTACTGGCCCACTTTAAAAAGTAATACTTGATATGGAAAAATAATTTTCTTTTCAAGATGTTTCCAACTCTTTAACTATATTTATATATATTATATATATCAGAGTTTCTGCTAGAAAAAAATGGTGCCGGTCAAAGTTACCAGCAGAGCTTTCGTTTTACGGACATTTTGACAATATGCTGGTCAAATATCGCCTCTTAATTAGTAGGGATGCGTGGTATACCGGTACTGCAAAAATACCGGTATATAATATATTTCAAACAGTACAATATTTTTTTTTTTTTTTTATTGAACAGTCAAACATACATACAAACCAGCATAGTGCAGTAGTGAGCCATCTTGTAATTCCAGAAGTGACATAGAGTGATTTAAGTGTTTGATCTAAGTGTGTATGTGAGTGGGTGTGAGTGTGGGTATGTGTATGTGTGTGTATGCGTAAACAAAGTAACCATTTATTATTTATTGCCATTGTCATTAACATCACCACCCCCCACTCCCCACTACCACCACATTGCCAATATTGTATTAGTCGATTTTTATCCTTTCTCCTATGTACCAATTGCCATTGTCAACCCTGTATAAAATAAAAGATGATATAATAAGATAATATATGATAACCTTCCCCCACATCTCTTCAGTCCCTATCTTCTCCTAATTTTTTTTTTTTTTGTGTGTGTTATGGGCAATGTCTAAAGTGCATTAAAAGAGGGAGTACAGTGCGAGAGTACTGTACTCTCGCACGGTACAATATCATAATTTTGTTAGATTTGGTATTTGATGCGCTGCTGTTTCGAAGTTCTCCACCAGGCACTACCGAAACTGACGCGGGTCACGCAAAACTGCAAACGGTGACAATGGAGGAACACGATGGATCAAACTAAGTTCGTTCAAATTTCTATACTATGGATCAAACTAAGTTCATTAGAATTTCTACACACCCGAAATTAATAAATAGAGAGAGCAGTATGAGTGAAATAATGCATTACTTTGCCTACTAAAGTAATGAGAATAGTACAGAAACAGACCTCAATGCACAACTCTGCAAACATTGCTTTCAATAAAGTTTTGCCATGGGAGGCAACACATCAAATCTGCCGAAGCACTTGTCAGTTGCTCATTCTGACTTGTTCAAAGAGTTCAGAGATTACTGTAGTATTATTAGGCCATTTTAATCAGACAATTTGAAATATATTTCAAATTACCAGACAGACAATAATTACCGGACAACGGAAATCGGAAACCCTTATATATATATATATATATATATATATCACACAGTTAGATAGATAGATAGATAGATAGATAGATAGATAGATAGATAGATAGATAGATAGATAGATAGATAGATAGATAGATAGATAGATAGATAGATAGATAGATAGATAGATAGATAGATAGATAGATAGGCCCTCATTTATCAAAAGTCCGTATACCAAATTTCCAGCGTACACCTGGCGTACACCCAAAACCACGGTGACTTTGAGATTTATCAATATTGACGTTGGCATATGGCATCCTATGCCAGCTCAGGAGGTGGTGTACAGACGTTTTGAGTTAGTGTGGAAATGTGCAGAAAAATAATTCCTAACACAACAAAACACACTGACAAACTAAAAGATATAATATATATTGACCCACTGTAAAAAACAACAACAACATAGTAATTATAAGCAGTCCAACATGGACTTTAATGTTTAATTTGTGTGACTTTACCGAAGCATTTGATTTGTAAGCATATGTATTCCTTCAGTTGCGAGCCTGTGCACTTTACCTGATGTTTCAGGGTTAACACTGGGTTCGGTAATGAAAGGCTTTCAATGACCAAAAAATAATTCAGCCTGACAAAATAATAAAAAATACATTCATCTTCTTTTAAATAATAATAATAATAATCATACAAATAATAATAATGACATTCTTCTTCTAAATAACAATAATAATAATCATAATAATAAGAATATTACAAATTGTCATGCAATTATTAATGTGAATGAATGGTACTCCACATCACATCATCATCACTATTGTACACCCCAATACATGTGACGTGATTCTAAATCTAAATGCTAATTTAAAAGACGTGCTGTAAAATAATGCATTGTGATAGGTCATTTCGGCTAGACATCAGAGAAGTTTCTCTTCTTTACCATCTTCTGTGTGTCCTTGGTGTAAAATGAGGGCGTGGGGGAAGCGGAGGCTTGAATATATAGGGGCATGTTATTCTAATGACGATTGTTTTCAGCCGCGGGATTTATCAAGGGCAGGTATTTCATACAACTGGATTTTAAAGGTACGCACAGATCAAATCAAGCGGTGAGAGGAGTGTAAGCATAATCTTACGCTTAACATATACGCCTGTTTCTTCGCAAGAATGATAAATGAGGGCCATTGTCCTTGCATTATTTCTTGTGTGACACACCTGAATGAAATGCTCATTATTACGTGGGTCTTTATCTTCTCAGGTGAGAAACACCTAATTATACATGAGGGGGTTGGGCCGTTCACACCCATTCGCATATTGCCTTTCCAAAAAAACAAAAAAAAATGTTTTTTTACAATTTAAAACAATTCACAGTTTTATGTGAATGATTTGGCAAGATGATTTTCAGATAATTTTGAAGCAAAAACTATAGGCAACAACATCCATTAGTCAAAAGCCTTGTGGACATATTTAGTATGTGTTTTGTGGCCTTATTTCAGAAACTTTATTTATTTATTTATTTATTTTTTTGTGCTAAATAGAGTGTAATTTCACCTGTGCCATTAATATGTTTATAAGCAACTCAAAAAAGCACAAATTGCATTGGTTATTATGGAAACGATCCGACTGTGTCTGTGCTCTTTAATTTGCGTGTTGTCAGTAGATCACGCGGAGACCTTTCCACTCCCATCAGCGCTAATGTGCCCTGTTTAGCAAATCTGGGCCCTAGTCTTTCTGAACGGGTGCATGATGATACTGCATGTTATTAAAATGCCCATTGTAGCACAATGCATTGCAGTGCAGTCCCTGTTCGCTTTGATGTGTTTATGATCTGTTTGATCTTCAAGTTTTAAATGCCATGTATTTTGGCTTGCACTTCTATAAAACCTTAAAACCTTTGCTATAGGTTGCTGAAAAGAGATTGACTGATCTGAGAGGACTGCTGTTAGTGTTTTGATGGTGCCTATGAATAGCAGACAAATAGTCACTGAACAATAAACTGGGTTAAGAGAATGTACCTTTTTTTACCATGAAAAATCTTACATACTTCAACTTTAATTTTCAATCACTGTGCAAAATAATATAAAAAATAATTGTGTTTGTGATGGCTTTACCATATATATTTATAAAGTAAATATATATACTGTATATATATATATACTTTAATTGTGAGGCTTTACTATATATATATATATATATATATATGTGTGTGTGTGTGTGTGTGTGTTGTATACTCTAGTGCGTGCATAATTATTAGGCAAGTCAATATTCTGATCATATATTTTTTTCAATCATTGAATGAAACAGTGATTAACGCCCCTCCAATGGCGCATTTGGACTGTGTCAGCATCTATTTCATGTGCACAACATGGATAAGCTACAACAGGTAAATTTGTTGGCTGTGTGTATACTAGCTAGGTAGACAATATTGACAAAAGTTTGATTTTAGTTGATCTTGAATCGATAAATGAATTGATGAATTACAAAAATAAATATAGCTGCGAGCAGCGATGGCGGGCCCAAGCCGGAGGCACCGCAACCCCGGTTCCTTTAGTTACCTAAAGGCACCCGGGTGGCGGTGCCGAAGGCTTTGGCCCTTTCATGATTAAATGTTAAAGCGGCTTGCCATACTCTGTCATTTCGACTAGTCACAATTATGTTACAGATATCTTAAATGATAATACAAACTATCCAAAGTGTAACGACTAGACAGAAAGACGTTGTTGATATCTACAATGTTAATTCCGGACAGGCAAACTTAGCTTTTAAATGTTAAAAGGGCTTGCCATACAGGGACGTAGGCTCAGAGAGAGGCTCACCATATTCAGACCAAAATATCTGACTTCCTCTTGGTCCGAGCTAATGACTATGTATTAGAAAGTTGTACGGCTTGAGGAGTACAATGTATATACCGATTTTTGTAACTGTAGATAAAACTAACAACCAATGTAGTAGCACTTCTCTTTTTTTGATTGGCTGATGCGTAGCAGGGTCGACTGCTGAACTCCAGGCGAGACGCGCTTGATTCTCACGTGAGAGCGGCGCGGCCAGAGAAATTGCGTATATTAAATATATTATTAATAGTTTTTCCGCATGAGAAATACAATGTGTGACGGGAGTGTGAGACAAAAGACTGAAACGAGTGACTGTCATGCTCAATGCGTGACACACTATAAAAAAATATTTCACACTGACTCCACATTTAGGGGGCCACAAGGGGGTCCAAGCTTGTTGTCGCAGGGGCACTGGCCCCCCCAGGCCCCCGCCTAGAACCGCCATTGCTCACACACACACACACACACACACTTTCTCTCTCTCTCAAGAAGCAAAAACATGACTGCTAAAGGTTGTATCAGCGATGGCGGGGTAACATCACTTAACATCACGAGTGCTATTCCCTTAGGCCACGCCCCCTTGTCTCCCCAAAGTATTATAAGCAATCATGCGCATCCCGTGTGCAGAATGATGCACTTGAAGCAACACCAAGTCACAGCACGCAACGCTTCACATTGAAAAGAACATAGCGAAGGGATGGTATCTATAATCTATGCTTAGTAGGGCTGCACGATTTGGGAAAATGTCATATTGCCATTATTGAGCCAATATTGCAATTGCGATTTGCGACTCCGATATAATAAAATGGTTTCATGAGTCCAACTTGCTTGGTTCTAAAGTAAAATGCACACACAGATTAATGTTTATTTCTCAACTCAAACTAAAAACAACAACAACAATAAATGATTGATAACACCTATAATGATCAATAAACCATCAACCAAACCAACATTACAGTGATTCCATCAATTGAAAGCCATCAACTTTTTAAAAAATTATTACGCTTAAAAAATATATATAACAGCTTTTAAATTAAGTGAACTTCAAACAATCCCCACATAAACCCATAATAAAAAACATATTTACCTGTGCCCTTCCTGTCTTAACAGGTACAGAAATTGAATAAAGTTATCAAACAGTCTGCGCTGCCTGAATCATAAATTATATATATATTAATCCTTATTAAAGCTACAAAAGTTCTTTACTCAAGATCAGTGAGTAATTTTCTAATTTCCCTTTGTTCTTTTAACTTTACTGAAAGAACGCTTTATTCGCTGCTGGCCCTTTAAGAGCACCCGTTGCCGAGACGCGGATCTCACACGCGCCTCATAGCACAACTCTTTTCATCCATAGACTTTTCTTATGTTATGAAGATACTAGACAAAATCACATTTTGGCATAATTGTGTGTGCTATTGTTCGTTCAAGCTCGAAAGAGAACTGTTTATTCTGGGCTGGCACACGGTCAGTGCATGCGCATTATGCGAGTCTCATCTATTCTAATCTAGGGCACTCACAGGCAGCTTTTCACTTCTTGTCGTGCAAAATGCGAAAAGGCATTTGAACCAATAAGAGGGGGATCTTGTAACACTAGTCAAAGGATGACAAAAAAGAAGAGATGCTGCGCTAATAGCCCTACTTTGTTTATTTCATATAAAATCGCGGCATTTTGCGTTATATAATTGCATAGGTTTGAGATCGCTATTACGACTGCGATATAATTAATCGTGCAGCACTAATGCTTAGTGTATTCTAAAGGGCAATAAACTCCACTCCAGCAAGATAGTCATTTTATGCAAATCATAGACCTTTATGCCTTATCTACAAATAAAGTATAATATTGGGAACATTGATCTTGAAGAGAGTGTCGTCGTGTTACTGTCGCAACCGAACGCGACGCGCTAATGCTGATGCATGGAGAATGACTGAGGCGAGATGACTTTCCGTTAACTTTAACTTAGAGACTAAAATATTAATTTTACCACACATTAAGCTATTGAATGACTTTAGAAGTCTTGGAATATAGTGTGAAAACTTGATTGTGCTTTACAGTTTTTTATGCCTTTAGTGGGGCTTAACAAAATAACACAATATGCAGAATGTCGGACGTCACTTATAGGCTAAACTGTTTTTATAGATAAAACTATTTACATTCGGCAGTCATGAAAACAAATCTCAGATAACGGTTGACTAGGTAACAATGTGTAATTTTGCGCCGGAGTTCTCCTTTAACTTACATTAGCTAGCTAACTACGAACGAGCTAACCAGATAACATTAACAAATTGACAAGCACTTACTGGGCACAGTGGGCAGAATGGCTCTTCAAATGACGGACGAAATTGGAGGTTGTCATCTGACTGTCCGCGATCTTAACGTTGCATGTCTTGCAAAGCGCTGTTCTTTTGCCATCTTGTTGTAAGAAATTCTTGAATCCAAAAGCGACGACGACCCTCGTTATCCCTCCGGCTGACATGTTGATGTGATCTGATGTAAGTGGGCGTGGTGTGCGCGTAAGGTATGAGAGGGCATGACTGATGATCTCGTGATCCAGTCATGACAGCGCTATTCTCAGCCTGCGCTCCAGCTGGATCAACTTTATTTTTTTTACATAATTTATATATTTTATATTCAAACTGAAAACATGATGTGATTAACACTCAAGTCATATTATTACATGCAAGTGTGTTTGATTTATGGACCAAATTTTCAGATCAAGTTTATGGACCAAGTTAATTTAATTAATAAACCTATAAAACTATTAATGCACTACAATTAAACTGGTTATATGCCTTTACTTATAAAAAATAAAAAACTTATTAAAAAAAATACCAGGCTTAAGGCATTTATTTTTTATGCAGGCCATACACACAGGAGTGAAATGGTTAAGACCCCTCCCCCTACAAACACACACACATACACAGACAGGCAAAGACAGAGATGTAGGCTCAGATTAAGCAAGACCACATTCAAACAAACATATCTGACTTTCTGTGGGTCCTAGCTAATGAGTGTCAATTAGAAAGTTGTCCGGCTCGAGGAGTACAATATACATACCGATTTTTGTAACTGTAGATAAAACTAACAACCCTACTTTTGTCAAAAGGTGGCGCTACTGAGCCCTCACCACGCCCGTTTCTGAAACATTGCACGTGTCTACTGGCTAATAAATGTGATGTGTCTGTCGAGTTTCATGCATTTTGAAGCATGCTAAGGGTCTCAAAAGCATCCTAAAAGCATCCTAAAAGAAGGGTAAAGTTTGATGCGTCGCCACGGCAACAGTTTCAAAGATATCAAGAATCCATTCACAGGTCTACATCTGCCGTATGTTTACATTATACATATGAAGTTTGAAGCAAATCGGGTAAAAATAAAAGGGTGATATCAAAGCATTTTGAAAGTGACACACTTCCTGCTGCCAGTTGGTGGCGCTATAACTTTGACTCACAATAGTCACATCCATGTGATCGTCCTCTTACAGCGAACACACTGCTGAAGTTTCATCAAGATCAGTTAATGTATGCTGAAGTTATAACAAACTTCCTGTTTCACGTTTCTCGCCATGATTTCGTTTCCTCGCCACGGCCAAACCGTTCGAGATATCAAAAATCCCCACACAAGCTTTCATCCTCAATGTCTTCACTTTACGCTGACCGAGTATCGTCGAATTTGGATCAAAGCTCTAGGAGGAGTATTTCAAATAACATTGCGAGCGTTTTACAAACAAACCTCAATAGCCGACTTCCTGTTGGGCTGGGGTAAAAAGTAAAAGCGCGAGGTATAGATGAAACGATGAGATCAACATGCGTACCGAGTTTCATATTATTACATGCAAGCGTGTTTGAGTTATGGACCAAGTGTTCGGACCCCATTCCAGGGGGCGCTGACGAGCCCCCCTGCCACGCCCGGGTACCATCTTCAGCCCGGCTCTGATGGCCGCGGGTTCTGACCCGTGTGCAAAGTTTCAAGAGTTTTCGAGCATGTTAAGGGCCCCAAAAGTGCCCGAATAGTCGTAAGAAAAATAATAATAATAATAATAATAATAGAATAATCCTAAAATAGGGCAGCTAGGCTGCGAGCAGCGATGGCGGGCCCAAGCCGGAGGCACCGCAACCCCGGTTCCTTTAGTTACCTAAAGGCACCCGGGTGGCGGTGCCGAAGGCTTTGGCCCTTTCATGATTAAATGTTAAAGCGGCTTGCCATACTCTGTCATTTCGACTAGTCACAATTATGTTACAGATATCTTAAATGATAATACAAACTATCCAAAGTGTAACGACTAGACAGAAAGACGTTGTTGATATCTACAATGTTAATTCCGGACAGGCAAACTTAGCTTTTAAATGTTAAAAGGGCTTGCCATACAGGGACGTAGGCTCAGAGAGAGGCTCACCATATTCAGACCAAAATATCTGACTTCCTCTTGGTCCGAGCTAATGACTATGTATTAGAAAGTTGTACGGCTTGAGGAGTACAATGTATATACCGATTTTTGTAACTGTAGATAAAACTAACAACCAATGTAG